GCCATTGACGTGCGCCATTGATTATCCTTCTTTTCCTGCACAGGAAATTCATTCCGTACTGAATCCTCTCAGCAGGACCGAGCCGGACTCACCAATAACCAGTTATCTACCTTGGCCAGTGAAGCAGTGAACCTAGGAATTAATCATAATCATTACTTATTTTTAGTATTATTTAAGGGGCGGCAATGTGCTCAGCATAGCAAGGGACCAAAAGTGGAGGCGGTCGTGGCCTCAGACACTTTCACCCTGGAAACACCCGCCAGGAGCTCCCAGCAGTAGCACTGGAGACACAAGCATGGAGAGAAATCCCACACACTAAACTGTGCTTTTAAAGCACCCCTAAACAAGAGCACCCGGGTGACTGTGTGGTGCCCCTGTGCACCACGGCACCACGAGGAACTGCTGGCAATGACGCAGCACCTGCGGGTGGCACAGCAAACCGAACGGTGAAGGCTCAGACCAGGTTGCTCCAACAAGTCCAGAGGAGGAGCAAGTGGAGCTCTCTGCCTTACTGGGCTTGCTTTAGGTTTGAATTATTGATTATCTTTGCCTGGGCAGCCAGAAGACAAGAGACACAGCAGCCCGATTGCTTTTGTTCTCAGAAACTGATCCTTACCCACCTCCCATGAAATATGGTACCAGCCTTTCACATCCTCAGGCTCCGGCTAGATGAAGGCGTTGTGCCTGGGACTGCACACTGGGGCTGGAAGCACCACCAGCACGGTGAAGGCTGATTACAAGGCACCCGTGTGGGCACTGGTGTACGCTCGAGCTTGCTTGTGTCATCTGCATGCCTGAAATGCCTACTAAAATGAGGTGGAAAAAAAATGATAAATACCAAGCAGTGGTTTTGCCCCATCCTGTACTGTTTCCCCGCAGCAGCACCAGGCTTTTTGGGGGCAGATTCTCTCAACCAGCTGAGCTGTGCTTTGCACAAGCTGAGAGAAGATGTCACGGCGGCTTCAGCCTGCCACCCCACTCCCATTCGGTCCTCGGGGCAACCACTTCGGCTAGAGACACCTTACACAGGCTGAGCGCAACCCACTCTTCCAGTCAGACGGGGAAACCACAGGCTCTGCACTGCCAGCAGCTGCCCAGAGGGAAAGGCACGGCCTGGATGGACCATTTCCAGACCTCATGTACCGTGGCTGGGGCAGAAGCAGGAGGCGAGCTGCTTGTGCTTGGGAGCGCTGAGCGGCCAGCAGCAACTGGGCCGTGCAGACACTTCTCTGCATTTGCTGAGCTGCAGGAGGCCGTTCGGTCTATAGGTTGGTGCGAGACTGGGGAGCAGAAGATTCCCAGCACAGCCCTGGCAGGGGACAGCAGCTGACACGACAGTTTGGTGATCACAGACTGAGCCAGGACGAAGCTGTCCCGGCGTCCCCTGCCGCTAGGTCTCACCCTGAGGTCATCTTCCTCTTTGGCCTGACGAGAACTGATCCCACACAGGCACTTTATTTTTTTTTTTCTTGGTTAATTTTAATCCAGACTAATTCCCTCATTCAGGTCACTGCATGGCCTCACATGCTCTTGCATCCAGCAAGGGAGGGAGCTCTGGGGAGCAGGAGGGGGCAGCCAGCAGGAGAGCTTTCTTCTGCTTACTACAGCAACTGAGCGCTGCCACTGTGGTTTTGGGGTTTTGTTTGGGTTTTTCAAAGGGGAACTCTCAACAGAGGGCAGAACATTCAAACCCTGGCGCTGTGACTGGCTTAGGACTCCAACACATTCACAGGGATCTTGTTCTCCAGAGTCAGAAAAACTCGCATGAGTTGGTCTCAGATGTGGAACAACTGCAGGCTCTGCTAATGCGCTGCTGTGTCACAGGCAACCTCATAAAAGTTGTAGGGCGTGAAGGGCATACGGTACAAGCTCCTCAGGCTTGCTGGGCACACACCCTGCACTGGTTCTGGTGCCCTGCCAACTTTCTGGGTGTAAAGGAAATCTATCCCCTTGTCTCAAGTCCAGGACAGCCTGGATTTCTTGCAGTCGTGCTGTAGGGCGGCCTGCAGCAGTGTGCATCAGGTGCTGAAACATTTTATGTAGCTGCTGTTGCTAGTGACCGGCAAAGCAAAGAGTAATAGGATCCGTGGCTTTGTTCTGACTCAGCCTGGTTGCTCTTTTGTGTGTGGGACCCCTGCTTTCAGTAGCAGGACCTATATATGCCTGCTTGAAATGACTGTGAAGCTCGGGCTTGATCTGTCGCTGTCTTGCTCGGGGAACTGGGCTTTGTGCAGTTTCTGAAAATAAGCACCTCACGCCAAGAGTTACCCAAAAGCACATCGCTTCCTTTTCATCAGCCAGCTCATGAAGCCCTAAAATTCAGCTGCTTCTCCCAGCATCTTCCGATTCCTGCAGCTCCAAGCCTGGAGCCTGGTACACTCCAGCACAAGGAGCATCCAGGAGCTGTACGTGGTTTTGCAGGGAGCAGGGGATGGGTGACACAGGGAGCTTCCACAATAAGCTGCTGCCTCTGACCTGACCCATCACACAGCTTGGGATCTCTCCCTGGGGACGGAGGACCACCACGTGGAACTTTTCTGATGGAGGGCTGGCACATCACCTCGTCATGCAGAGAGCTTAATCTTCTGCCAAGGCTTGCATCGTGTGCCAGAGGATGAGCCAGATTATGGGAGGTGAGGAGAGGCACACAGAGCTGAAAGAGGAGGGTGTCGGCCTTCTCAGATAGGATGGTTGCTGGAAAGGAAGGGTTAGGATGCAATGCAATATCCAGTAGCCCTGGATGAAGCACATGTTTGATCCATAATCCCAGGATCCCTTCCGTTCTTCAGGCAGTACAATGAAAATACACACTTCACTCAGGATTTTGTAAGCAATTAATCTGTACAAGTCTCCAGGAACTCACTCCATACTCCCAGGCCTTGCTCCTCAATCCCAGCAGCACAAAAGGTGGAACGGGGCTGTATTTCCCAACTCATGAAGTGCAGCATATGTCTAAGGATGCAAAATGTCCGAGATAGAGCCGTGAGGCTGAGATACTGGAAGCCGAAATGGCCTTTGACGTGTGGTGGTTAGCATGGTCTGTCTTGTCGTGATAAAGCTGCTGTCATCGCTAGCTGCCTTCACCGTCACCAGCCTTTGCCTTCTGCTGGGTGCTTCCCCCACCCACACTGTCCTCAGCTCCCCTCTGTGCCATACTGACCCAAAATCAGCTCCCAAACCGTGTCGGTGCTGTCCTGGCTCCCTCCGTCGCTGTGTTCCCTTCTGAAGCGAACCAGGCTCCAGATTTTGATATCGCTCGGTCAGAGGGAAGCAGCACCCGATTAGACCCTCCGAGCGGCGTTATCTTCCCTCCCCTCTCATTACTTCGAGCTATTGTGAAGACAATGGATGATCAGATGTGCCCAGGGAAACAGCTGGGGTAAGCACAAGGATAGAAAAGCTAACTTGGGAGAAAAGGCACCGAGAGAAAAACAGGGAACCGCACTTTCAAGTTTTGCCAGCATAGCAAAGAGTGTGGGAACAAATTACAACCGTCAGTGAGATACCTCTGGCAATGAAAGCCCCAGTTTCTTCAGGAAACTGGTGTAACTTACACCGGCAAAAGCTGTATCTCCAGTAGGAGTCTGTCAGAAAACCCTTCCCAGGGTAGCGAGAGCCAGCAATATTAAAAGGCAATAATAGAGCCCAGCCGTAGGAAGCCTCTTTTCGTGGGGAGGAATATTTTCCTGTGACAAGTCTCAAGCAGCTAAGCTCCGGAGAGCTGCACAGTACAGGCAGAAGCTTTGTACGCTGTCTGTATGAATATGTATTTAATTATGGCTCCAGTGCAGCACACATTAACATAAATAAGGAGGAGAAATAGAAAGCAGGAAAGGGGGAGATCAGGGAGGGGGGAAAGGTCTGATGTTCACCTGCCTCGGTTAGCAGCAGCCCTCGCTCTTTGTCGTCCTGGGGAGGAGCTGTGCTCGGACCTTGCAGCATTTCCCTCTGCTCCAGGGAGCTGGAATCAGCCTCTGCAGCTCGGCTGGTCCTGCTGCGGGCTTAGCACACATGGGACTGTGGTCAGATAACCAGGAACCAGCATGAAATAGAGGCAAAATGTGTTGAGGGGCAGAGAGGAAGAAGAGAGGTTTTTTCTTTTCTTTCCTCTCTTTTTTTTTTTTCCCCTTAAGGCCATCTGCAGAAAAGGGCCTTGAGAAGAAGAAAGCACGGCCCCAGGAAACTCTCTCCACGCGTTTTTCTGAGCATCATTTCCTCAGGGGGAGGCATCCATGTCTCAGCTCCATGTCTCAGCTCCCCGACTCCTGTTCCTCCTTCCCCTGCCTGGCACGTGGTCCTGTCCACAGCAAGAGCCCTCTACATTGCCAAACGATGGGCAAAAGGACAGACAAATGAGAAAGGTGGTGCAAGGAGAAAGTAAACTTTGTTTGAAGACAAGGCGGAAAGCTCCCCCCTTCCCCTGCCCCTCCATCCTGCAGGACTGTCCCCTCACGTTTGTGTGAACATCCAGCTCCCCTGCCTGGTACCTGGTGGTGACGTGTAGCCCATCAGCTTACTGAAGTAAATAAATCACGTCTCTTGCAGAGGACAGCAAAGGATTATTCAGTTGAAACTCTGCCCTGAGTGCTGTGGACCAGACATAAAGATCTCGCATTTATTTCTTATTTTTTTCTTTTTAAGTAGGGGCCCTTGTCAGAGGCCAAATATTCTCTCATTTCTGTACCAACACTCTCCTGTGCTCGTCCTCAATGGGACTTCCCAACAATGTCCTCAAAGACATGCTGAACTTCCAAAACACACAACACCAACTGATCTTTCATTACTATCCTTCAAAAATGCACTCTGAGGGAAATATAAACCCGAACCCTTGACAGAAATCCCTCCCCTTCATTTGTGCTGAGGTCATTTTGTAATCCTGTCCCAGCATCACTCGCAGCAGCTGAATCCCCCCTCAGTGCTCAGCGGCCAAGCAGGAACCACCTGCGCCTGGTTTGTGTTTAGGAAGCACCCTCACACAAAGCTCTGCTTGAAACAGGCTGAGCCCAAACACCTCCTCCAGTACGCATGGGTACCTGGTGTCACAGAGCCACGGGATGGCTGAGGGTGGAAGGAAGCTCTGGGGATTGTAGGAGTCTTTAAAGATCTCCAGGTAGGGATGTTCCACTTCCTAAAGCGGGGTAAGTGCCCCGTCTGTGGCAAAGGTCTGCCATCACCAGTGGAGGTGACAGAGTTAATAGTAAAAGGACTTCTTTTCTTTGGGGAAAAAAAAAAAAATCCATACCGCAGACAGGGGCAGAATGTTTTAGCCTCTTGTGGTCAAGGCTGGCTGATCCTCATACCTGCGCTCAGGGCTGCCTCAACAAGTGCAAAGCTGTTTAATTATTGACAAAGAAGCAAGTCTTCCACCCAGGCTACACTTCGTTTTGGGATGAAAAAGCAACTCCATCCAAACTGGCAGAGCTTTAAAGTTCTGCCTCTTTGTATTCTTAGCATCAGTGCACATAAAGAAAACACAAGGCCTGGCCTGGCCTAAGCAGTGAGTGCTTAATATTTCCTTTGCATACCCTAGTAAATCGGGGTATGATTTGAAAATGTCATTGCACATCTGCATGTTTGGTGTGTGTTGCTGCAAACTGGTGCAGGAGGAAGGGCACAAAGAAGAAAAACAGCAGAGATCCTGCAAGCCACTTGCCTCTCTGTGGCGTGGCCTCAGTGGCACTTGCTGTAAGGCAGAGGCGGAGTGCTGAACTCCTGCAGGTCCAGGAGGGCGCCTCTGCAAGAGGTTAAACCTGGCCTCTGGGACAGGACACGCTGCCAGGAGCACGTATGGGCTGCCCATAAGCTCTGCTGCTCTAAGTGCAGGTGGTGCCTGTGAGCTCCTGCGTTTCTGTGGGCTTAGAGCAGTGATGGCTCAGGTCTGCAGTGAAACGTAGATGGGAGCAGGCCCAGCTCCGCGCACCAAGTCACCCCTGGTGGTTTTCGTGGTAAGTCCCCCTGGGGCTTCCCCAGCTGCTCCCACTAACAGCCTGACATACTTCGCTCATGTCCCTGGCACCGGGCAAGGAGCGGGTTGAACTGAGGGTACCAAAGCCATCCTGCGGTGGGAGGTCACCCTGTGCCTTTCACAATGTGACATTCTGGGGAAAGCGTACTGCTTGTACCGTCCAGCTCTGGAGATAAATAGGGGACAAGGCTCTGCGGCTGCCAGTTTGGCACCTTTCATGGATAATAAAATGCACTCAATGCTTTTCAGGCTTTCCTACAAATAATCAGAACTGTTTGTAACTATGTTGAAGGAATTAGGGTTTTTAGACCGTGTTGGAATGATTAAATAGAGGCCTTTCTTTCAGAAGGGCATGAAATTTCACTGAAAAGCAGGGTTTGTGAGTTTTCCTCCAGGCAAGCCAGCCAGGGCAAGCTGGCAGGAAGGAAGGCAGGCTCTCCGAGAGGGAGGATTTCCCCAGGTGACACAGGCAAAGGGAGCCCACACACCTCCCTGCTCTGCCTGCATCCCCCTCTGCTCAGCCTCTGGGGCACGTAGGGGGCTTGTTGCAAGTCCCACGGCAGCATGCAGGAGGGGAGAGGACTGAGGGACGAGCTGGGAAGAGACTTTAAATATTCCTGGGGGAAGGCAGGGGGGAACACGAAGGAAGAGGTGTTTCAGGAGCGACCAGAGTAGACCGAGTAGTGTTGGGGAAATAGATCTGTGAGTTGTCAGCACAGAAATGATTACTGAAGTGTGTGGCAGGATATAGCCACTTAAGGAGCAAGTGAGAAGTGGGGAGAGGGACTGAGGCGATGTCCTAAGGAAGGCTTGTAGCAGGGAGGAGAAAAGCCCTCAGAGAAGACAATGCAGGAACACCTCGAGAGGAAGGATGAAAACCAGGAGCGTGAAAGGCTCTGGAGCACCTCAGGAAGAAAGCTGTTAGATAAAGAAGGAATGATCCAAATCAAAGGCGGGCCACAGGCTGGGATGGAGGTTTCAGAGAGTGCCAGGAATAACAACTGTGCCTTGGCTCATGCCTTGTTCCTCCCCCCCCCCCCCCCCTGCAGCACCGTCCCCTTCTTAATGTTTCGTCTTCAGGGCAGGGACTTGTCCCTCCTTCCCGTCAAGCAGTTCAAGCAGTTGCTTGCCATTTGTACTGAGAATATTAATTGGACGAACACGCCTGCGTGCTCTTAAATATTGGGGGGATATAACCCTTAAACCACACCGCCTTTGATTTACTTAATTGAACGCCATCCTAAGTGTTCAAAATCCTACATAAAGTCCTTCCCATCTCTCCTCACCCCTATGGAAATCGGGAGGCTCTATCAGAGAAGGAAATTATATATCATGGTAGAAAAGAACGAATTGTTTTGGCTTCTGCTTTTTCAGCTTCCCAGAACCATCCCCTACATAGATGCAACAGTCTCAGAATGCAAATTCACCCTCAAATGCGCATAAAATATAACTGCAATTCTTCAGGCTTTGGCCACCCTCTGTTCACTCATTTCTGCTCTCCTGCTGCCACAGAAAGCCCTCTTTCCATGCCAGCTCTCTGCCTCCAGCACCGTCCATGCACCCCAACCTGCAACAACAACTTGCAAGATCCCAGTTCGTCCAGCCCTTGTCTGAGCAGTGAGAGCTGTGCTCAGCCCAGAGAGCCTTTAAATATATTCCTAAATATTTATACTGTAGTTAGCACTGATCCTGGAAGGAATGTAAGTGTTTCTTTGTGTGTCTCTAGCTCCAGTGGCACTTACAGCATGTACATAAGGGCTTTGCTAAACAGGAGTGGGCCTTAATGCACACTTAATTACTTTGCAGTCTGGGCCCAAATGTTTGCCTATATTGCAGTGATCAAGCTCTGTCTCTTGATTTCCTGTCTGCAGTACAGGGATAAAGAAAGCAGATGATGATGTGAGATGGAGCCTCCCTTGGCCTGACCTTGGGATTGCTGAATAGCTCATGACTGGCAAAATCCTGGATTGAGTTCAGTTGGATTTTATGAGGTACGGAGCTGGAAAGACTGAATTTTTCCCTCCTCATTACATGGCAATGACTATCCTAGCCATGGCTTCTCGTTCTGTATCTGGTATTTCCCATATCAGAAGGGATGCCAAGTACTTTCTTCCTGATGTTCATAGTGCCCTGGTTTTCAACCTTTTTTTTTAATTTGTAGACTCTGCATATTTTCTAAGGCAGATGTGGCCCCCCTCAGTAGTCATGGGGCAGAGCTTATGACAATACTGAAACTAGTTTTCCATGCTGCTTTTCATGGACTCTTACAGGCAATCTGTTGAAGTCCACAGAGAACTGAATGCAAAGCATGCCCTTGCCTCTTACACAAAGGCTTTCTTCTCTTCACAGTTTCAAGTGCCACCAATGACTACTGGTATGTGAAAAGCACTGTTTGGATTTAGACTGGGATAAAGTCCCTGTAAATTAAAACTTATTACCATTTTGCCTTTCCCATTTAAGTTAACCTATTCTCTGCTCTCAGTAAAACCAAATTTTAATGCTGCAGATTTTCTGCAAGGGAACACTGTCATAATAATCAGTTAGTATGTAGAATAGGAAGCCATTAATAGTAAGCAACAAAGAAGAAAAAAAAAAAAAAAAGATTACTTCCTTTTAATCTTCCATTTGTTCTGTGGGTAGCTAATAATTACTTAGTCATTAAGGCCTGTTACTATTACTTGCTAAGTTTCAGAGAGCCCTGTTTCTATGTAGTCTTATTTAAAAACAGTAGAGGAAACCACCTATCTAATCCAAATAAACAGTTTCTAAGCATATAGTCACTGAGACCCCACATCAGATAGTAAAGGTTTTTAGGCACCTGCCACTCACTAAACCCAATGAAAATTAGACTGCTAATGCCCTTACAAGCCTGGATCCTTGTGACTACAGCCTTTGCTGTCAAGTGTTATGATGGCAGAAACTTGAGATGAAATTACAGCCTACATCCACTCACAAGGGACACAAGCTGTTTCTCTGAAGTTGTTTTTATTTTTATTTTAAAACCAGAACTGCAGGACAAGCCCTTCCTTTCCATTGCTGCAGCGTAAATATGAAAAAGAAGCCTTATTTTCAGGCTCTGATAACAACAACAAGAAAAGGGGGGCAAACCAGTTGTGCCTTATTTGCTCAGTATCAAAAGCCATGATATAAAACGTGTAACATCTGTGTTTTTGGCTGCCGTTTCAGGGAGCAGACCTCTCCTTCCACCAGCAAGAAGCCCACGACCAAGCTGATGTGAGCAGTCAGAGCTGGAGAGTGGCCACGGACCGGCTGCAGGGCCCCAGCAGCCCTGGCTATTTCTGGCTTTGTGACCGGCTGAGTGAGCACGATTAGGTCGCTCACAGAGGCAGGGCCAAAAAGTTTTGCCAGCACAAATCACCTGCATTACATCCCACGAGGGGCTTGCTGTGCCTTCACAGAGGATTTGCACAAGGGGTGGTCTCATCCATGCCCAGTCATACTCTGAGCTTTGTGGGCTTGGACAGAGCAGCCTGCCCAGAAGAGCTGGGACCTGCTGGCCCTCCAGGTGAACCACACATCTACCCCTTCTCCCTGGGTTTTGTCAAGGGGAGGAAATACAAGAGTAGTGGTTGGCAGGAGGTGATCTGCTGGTGGTTGAGAGCACAATGTCATCGTCTCTTATTTTCAGCATCCCTAGCCATGTCAATGAGTTTAAATATGAGCAGCAGCTCACACACAACCTGAGTGCAGACACAACACATAGACATGCTCATGAGTCATTTTACACCCATGCGTAGAGGTGCGAGAGCCCCCATCAAAGGCAGCAGAAGAAACTGGTGTTGACGTGGTGGAATCGTGCCCTTCCTCCAGGTCTCATCAAGGCAGGACACTGACACTGGCTGCAAAGACTGGGCCAAGCCTCACAGTGAAGGCAAACACAGCCCTGTATGGGTGCTGCCACCCAGAAATTTGCTGCTGGCCATCTCAGCCAGCTGGATGGCCTGGCAGGGCTGGCGTGTCCCTCCATTCTCCTACCCCACCACAGCCCCTCTGCTGGGGCCCACTCCAACGCTGTTATGGCACCAATGACCCAAAGTAGTCATGTACGGGACCATAAAATGCCACTCCACGAGGATATCGGGAAGCAAAGGAAGCCCTCAGGCAGCTCCCATGGTGTTTCTCCTCCGGCTGCAGGCACGGCGCTGCTGTCGCTGCAGGAGCGAGGCCTCCTCGGCGCAGGGCCCCGCATTCAGCCATTTGTTTCCCTTCCCGATCTGACAGGACAGAGACAGGTTTTACTGAGCCGCTGAGCAACCCGTGAGGCCTGTCTGTGCACCAAGGCTTCTCTGAGCACGTGGGTTGAGAGGTTTATTGGATCGGGGGATAATTTAGTATCCATTTTTCACAGCACGTCCATTTGTATTAACTCGGCCTCACGGTCTGTTTCTGTCCCCCACCCCCAAGGTACAGGAGTGATGATGGTGGGGGAACTCCTGGGCTGTGGCTGTCGCTTGTGGTGGGACCCCTGGATCTCCTGGGCACCTTCCCAGGCTCTTTGCCCTCTTGGCGTGGGCAGGAGCAGGGTCCTGGATCACCTTTGGCACCAGCACTCCTTCCTTTCGGGGTGGGAGGAAGGGGCCCGCATGAAATCTGTCAGCACACCCACCCCCTGCCACCCCTCTGCTACCCCACCCCATCTTTTCACAGCAGAGGTGAGGGCTGTTTGTAGAAGACACACAACCCACACGAGAGCCCACACCTCCCACATGAAGCCTTCCACACCATTTACTGCAATAGCAGAGAAGGTTGAACAGAGAAAATGTGGCCCCACTGAATAGGGAGAGTGATTTGGTGACAGGGAACACAGGTAAGGCTAAGGTACTCAATGCCTTCTCTTCCCCAGTCCTCATCATCAAGGCCCACCAAGCTTCTGAGCTTAGAAGCAAGAATCAAGGAGGAGAATTACCAGCAAGTGGATGGGCATTGAGCCGGGGATTGCCTGAGATCCCTTCAAGTCCGTGAGACCCAACACGTACATCCAGGAGTGCCAAGAGAGCTGGCCTGCGTCCTTGAAGGCCACTCTAACATCTTTGAAAGCCCTGAGAAGTGGAGAAAGGCAAATACGAGGCCTGCTCACACCTACAGGATGGTCACCAGGAAAAGTGAACTGGGAACTTCACCTGTGCGCAGGGCAGGAAAACAAGAGACAACAGGCATACATTGAAACAGGAGCCATTTAGAGTAGATATGAAGAAAAGAAATCCCCCGTGAGGCCAGTCTAGCAGCAGATCAGGCTGCCCAGAGAGGCTGTACAGGCTGTGTCCTGTGAGGTTTCAATCCCTGACCAGACACAGCCCTGAGCTGCCTGGTCTGGCCTGGGGCTGACTCTGCTCTGAGCCTCCCACGTCCTGTCCGACCTGAATTATTCCGTGATCCCATGCTGAGTTGAATTGGACAACAACAGTAGGAAATTAAAAATACAGAAATATAATCCTACTGTTGACACAAGTATCCCCAATTCTCCAGACTGCTTTAGTACTCAGTCTGCTCTGACTTATGCAAGAAGCCAGATTAGCCCTCAGCCAGGGCAGCAATACAGATGTGTCCTCACTACTCCTTTGCCTATGCCAGGCTGAAGGCTTAAGGCTGCTGCTGCTAACACTCAAATGCATATAAAGAGACTGCAGAGGGTGGCTGCGTCTGTAAGGAACCAGTCACCATCACCTCCACTCCTTTTCCCAACTCCCTTCTTCTTTCTCTCTCCCATTGCTCCTTCAGTAAAATCAGGAACAAGAAACCAAGGCCCCAGGGCTCATCTTACAGCCTCTGTGCCCACCTCTCCCTCTGTCCCCCTCTACTCTCTAAACCTAGAGGGACTTCTGCCAGGCCACAGCCTCTCTCCGTGGGGTAACAGCAGTGCCCTCCAGAAACCACAGGCTGAGCAGCCAAACAACATTAAAGGCCCTTTCACCCTCCTCCCTAGCTGTGGCTGAGGCTAAGCGCTGTTCAGCGAGCTGTAAGGAACGGGAACCTCATCACAAGCAGCCCTGGCCAGAGAGAAAATTTGGAGGGAAGGCTGCAGCAACCTCACGTTTAGAAAAGATGCTTGAACTCCCCTCCTAAGTGGTCATGGAAGCTATTTTCATCTTCAGCCGCTGCAGATTTGTTCCTGGGATGGTGGCTGCACTGAGTGGCTGACACAGACCTGAGAATCAATCAAAAGTAATTGAAACAGAAGAGGCTCGGCAATCAACCTATTAGGTTGCTGGAGCCAGAAAAATGCCGCTATGAGGAGCCAGAGAAAGGGGAACTGACTTTCCTTCTGAAAACTTAATGTGAGGGAGAAGCTACGGCTGCACAGCCCTTTCTTACAAGAAGAATGGAAATCTGTGGAATTCTCCTTCTGTGTATTTTTGTCCCCTTTAATGGGAAGGGGAGAAAGGAAAGAAACCATTAAACCGTTAGCTGTAAAAAATACCATCTCGTTCTCTTTTCTTTCCCTCATTCCCCCCCTCCACATGCAATAAAATGATTCTTTGCTCTCAATTGTTGTCTGCTCTGGCAGCGGTTGGACTGGGCTTTGTTTTTCTTCACTTCGCTGCTCCTCACCGGAGGACTTCGCTGGCTGCAGCAAGCTATTAAGCTGGCTGCTGGCTCTCTTCTGTCAGAACGGGAGCTGCTGCTGGAGTCCAGCTATTTGCAGTCGCCTGCATGAATCGGCTCCTGCAAAGTCAGACCGTGGAGCCACCGACAGGAGTGTGAGCCAAAGTGTTAGGGGGCTGCCACCCCCCACTAATTGACGGTGTATGCCCCTCCACCATCCCTCACCCAGATTTCGAACCTTCTGGCAGATGCCCCAAGGGGAGTTGCAGGGGTGAGCTTAAATATTTCATCTATATCATTAGAGCAAGAAAAAAATTAAGGTAATTTAAAATAAATCTATATATATATATATAGGAGGTGAAAAGCTAAACTACCTATATTCATGATAAGAGATGTGCAAGGAGAAAATACAGCGCAGAGAATCTGAATTTGGAAAGGACGACCATGTATGCCAGTAAGCAGTATCTTATCAGCCTTCTCCGAGACCTGAGGTTTGATGGCCCCACAGCCACCTCTCCTACACAGGTAGCATGCTGAGCCGAATTACTTTGGCTACAGAGGATGCACTGACTTGACCCTGATACCAGAGACTTGTGTTGACTCTGAATTCTGCACAACACACCCTTGGTTGGATGTGGTTATGAAACATAATAACCCCTGTTACAGTCTGGGTGAGATACCTCAATCTCTCATTAATTTGAAGGGAATTAAAACAAAGTTTCCCCTTTCCTCCTCATCCAGGCAATTGCAGCGTGGCAGGGAGGCAGTGAGATTTGATATCACAATCAAGGTTTGTATTTTGATCTTGCTGGTGGGAACAAACCAGCTGACCAAGGGGACGGGACTTCATTTCTGGGGTGATTGGAGCAGTTCTGCCTTGTTTGCAATATGAAGAGCCTGAATGCAGGATGCTGCACGTGTTCCTGGAAGTCCCCTGCAGCAGGGACTTTTCCACGGGCTGGACAGGCTGTGGAGAAGGCACTTGCACCACTGTGGTTTACTCAGGGGTGTTCCACCTGACAGAGCTTTTATGGGGTCAAAAGGAAATATCTCCTGGGCTCTACAGAGAAGTGCTCCAGGTTTTATCGGTACTTACTGCTTTTTGGGGCTATCACTGAAAATGTCCGGGCACACTGCAGATTTGAGGACTTCAGCAACTCATGCCAGGATCGAGCCTGTGCCTGTACAACGGTACGAGCACTGCCCAGATTACCATCAACCACAGTTTATGTGAGAGACGTGCTCTCCCTGTGGGTTTAAGCAATAACTCTCCAAGCACACCTTCAGAAAGCATATTGCTTTCATGAGTTTACATGAAATAGGGCGGGGGAGGGGGAACGAGGAATTAATTTCAGCAAAGAGAAATTTTGCCTCTATGTCCTAATACTGCTAAGAGAAAAAAAAAAAATCATTTTTCCCCACTAAGCCCCTGCAGCAGTGCTAGATTCAGTGCTCGATTATCCTCCTCCAAGGGAGCAAAGACAGCGGTGCCAAGCGCTGCTCAGGAATAATGCTGGAATAATACAGGAGCTCATAATTGCAGGAAAACTGTGTCCAAAAGCAAGCCTCCCCAGCAAATACCGAATCATCAGAAATGCAGGGCCCTTCTGCCATCATCTGCAAACAGCGTCTCGAAGAGGTGTGATTAGATCAGAAAGTTTGGAGCTGGGACCATCCAAATTCTGATGCTGCTTCTGATACTAGCCCTATTAAATACTCCCCAGGGTGCGTGTGATGCCCCTCACACGCACCCTGGGGAGTATTTAATAGGGCTAGGATGTTCAGAGGTTCTTAACATCTGTCACTCAAAGACCTTCAAATGCTTAAATCTGCCAAAAAAAAAAAAAAAAAAAAAAAGTTAACCTCCTGAAAACAGACAGAAAAGGAAATAAGATTAGTACTTGTAATGTGCTTTTAGGAAGAAAAGGGACTGAGTATTACTTTTTGTTCTTGTTATTTTATGCACTAGAAAGCTGCAAGACATAAAGATGAAAAGGGAGGTGGGACTGATATTAGTACTGGGAGTGCTGTTGGGTCATTGCTGCTGTGTTCCAGGTACCTTCACCGAATAAATGCATGGATTATACGCACCACGAAGGAATCATTCTGGACAGGTGATGTTTATTCCATCAAAGGGACGCTCTCAAAGGACACGCAAAGTCCCCTAAACTTTCCAGGATTAGCAGTGGATGACCTAATATCTCCTCCCATCACTGGTGCCTAACACTTTACAGAAATTTATGCACAGAATGTGACAACTTGTCATGAAATGCTCAACTTCATGTATCCCATTTTCCTGCAGAGTTCTCTGCATAATATATAAACAGAGGGGGGTGGGGGAAATCGCTCTGAAAGCTCCTGCCAACTCACATCTATTTCATTCTTTTCTTTTGAAAAGAAACCTATTCCAGATGGTTTATCATTAGAACTTTTTCAATCTCTGATGTTATGGAAAAAAAAAAAAAAAAAAAAACGGGGAGAAAACACGTAAGATCAGGTCTAGCATGGCCTGAATGCACTCCTGGGAGCTTTCCATGCTGGACCTGTGCCTGTAGGCACGCCTCCGCGGCAGGAAGCAATGGGCTGCCCCGGGTCAGCACAGCCAGCCAGCGGGCACTGCTGATGGGGCAGGATTTGGGCCAGCAAGTCGAAAATCTCTTTTCCTCTCCTCAGAGATCTTCCTCTTCCCAGGGCTTGTGCACCCACGGTAGCCCACGAGGAAATATGCCCAGACCGATGCCAGCAAGGTCGTCCTAGCTGTGACCCGAGGAAGCTGTCCACATTTCTCTCGGGGCTCCTGTGACAAGCAGCAGCACAAACAGGAGCTGCAGTGCCTCCCCCTGCATCGCGTGCCCTCCTGGGTGTCAGCACTGCAGC